AGGAAGGAACATCAACATTTTAAGATATACAAATGACACACTATACTGTTGCCAGAAAATAGCAAAGACTTGGAACAACTATAGATGAGAGTCAAATTGGATGTACTTTGTGTTAAAGAAAATCTGCTGGAGGAATAAGGGACAAGCTTTCAGACCAACAATAAGGGGCATGCCTTATAATAAGGGACATCTCTAGCAACCCTATCTGAACTTGATGGGACAACAGCAGTCATCTTTGATGTTTATGGGGCATAGTGGTTCAAACAGTGGACTATGGTGAAGACCAGGGTTCAAATCTCTGCTCAGCCATGGATACCTGCTGGGTGACCTTGGGTAAATGATACTCTTAGCTGCAGAGGAAGGCAAAAGCAAAAACCCTTCTGGACAAACCTTGCCAAGAAAAGCCCATGATGGGTTCACCTTAGGGTTGTCATAAGTCAGAAACACCTTGAAGGCACACAATAACAAATGCAGGTAGGCAAGCCTAACTTTTATATCAAATCTCATACACAGATATGGGGGTTGTATCCTCGCCACCTTTATGTCTCTAAAATTTGTCAACGAAATGTTCCTCTCTGGCTGGATTGGGTACAAAGTTGAGAACTCAAGAGTACTACAAGACCCAGAATCCCCCAGTCAGTATGGCCGCTGCTGAGGAAAAAGCCATAGAGAAGGAAGACAAGAATGGCAAGGTTCATTTCATCTCAACTTCACAGGATCAGTATTATCAGTGAAAACTCCGCCAATTCTAATTTTGATGACATAGCTTGTTTCATTTCCCATAATGCTCTAGATATATCATTGCTCTATTGTATTGTGGTGAACAAAAAATATAGTATTGCCCTATTGTATTGTGATGAACAAAAATGTTGGTTAAATCAGGAATTTAACTTCGATAGCCATTAAAAAAAAGTAATAAAAATATATATTTTAAAAACTTGAACAGCCATGGCTCCATCCTATAGAAATCCTGGGAATCATAGTTTGGCGAAATAACTCTCTGTAGACCCAGAGCTGCTGTAAAGAGAGTTGCTGCCATCTAGGGAGCAGGACTGTATCCACACCACACAGTTATAGCAATTTAAGGCCACTTTAACTGTCATGGTTCCATCCTGTAGAATTCCAGGATTTGTAGTTTGGTGAAGTACTGTACTTTGAATTCTCTGCTAGACAGTGCTGGTGCTATAGTTCAGAGGGTGTCTGGTGGGGAATTGCAAGTCCCCCTGCAAACAACGTATTCTAAGATTCCTTATATCAGAGCCATGGAAAATAGACTGTTGCAAGTGTAGGTACACTTCTTATTTTGCCTTCCAAGAAGATGAAAAGCCTGGTTGTGTCTCCGCATCAGTATTCTGGTGAAAATGGAGTTCTAAACTGTTTTTACTGTTGTTCTCGTTGTTGTTATACTCTTCTCTTCTTGAGATTAAGGCGGGTTGCAGACTGCCAGAAATAGTGCAAATTGAGTCCACTTTTAGGGTTAGGGTTAGTGCTAGGGAATCATGGGAACTGTATTTTATTGTGGCACCAGAACTCTCTGACAGAGAAGGCTCAATGTCTCATAAAAAAAACAATCCCCATGATTCCCTAGCACTAACCCTAACCCTAAAAGTGGACTTAATTTGCACTATTTCTGGCAGTCTGCAACCCCCCTAAGTGTACCAATTTCCATCCACCTTTCCTCATACGACTTACTGTTCTCCATATGTTGACTGTCTCTGTTGCTCTCCTATGACCCTTTTCCAGGTTGCCTGGCTCCTTCTTGAACTGTGCTCTCCAGAATTAGACACAATATCACAATTGCATAATGAACTGGAACAATTTTGCTTCCCTTGACTTGGAAATTATGGTTCTATAACTGCAGCTTGCCATCATGTTGAAAGGCAGTGTGGTGTAGTAGTTTGAGCATTGGACTATGACTTTGGAGACCAGGGTTCAAATTCCCATTCAGCCAGGGAACCCACTGGGTGACCTTGGGCAGGTCACACACTCTCAGCCTCAGGGGAAGTCCATGGCAAACCTCCTCTGAACAAACCTTGCCAAGAAACCCCTGTGATGGGTTCTCCTTAGGGTCACTATTTGACCAAGTCATATGATGCAAAATGTTTGCCTTTTGAAGTCTTTGCATCTTTGAATATTCCATCAATGTTCAGTCAAGTTCTACTGGGAAAGTTACAAAATGTGCCCTAGCATCTGTTTTCCAGTGGCATGCTTCCTTACAGTGCTTGAAAAAAGTTTACTTTTTTGGACCATAACACTTTTGGGGAGCTATGTTGCCTTTCCAAGCTCTGGGCATTAGGCGCCTGTCATAAAAACCAGTGACAGAATTCTCCCTGTCTATGAATTTTATTCCCTTTTAAAGAAGCCGTCTGAGTTTGGGGTCATCATCATTTTGTCTCTGGTCAGTATTAGCTGATACATACAGATGTTGCATTTCAGTCCTGTGTTTTATTGCCAGGGATTTCACCATGGGGCCAGTTCATCTCATTGGTCTCATTATCTATCCTTGTCGTTCCATGCCACTGAATAATAACTGGAACAGCTTTGTGACCAATAAAGCATAATGGCTGTCTGGAGCCTCCTTTTATTCTTCTGTGCCGTCAATTGTAGATTCACACTTGAAGCATGCGCTTGAGTTTTTTGAAGGGTGATCTTTTCTCCTTCAACCTGTTTTTCTGTCTCCACTAAGAATGTCACAGCAGGATTGTGACATCAATGGAAGTCCAGGTTCTAGCAGCCAGCTTTGGGCGTCATGGATTGGTTGCTTTGGGGTTCTCAGTGAGCATGAACCTGTGGAAACCTATGGTCCTTGGGTAAGTTGGCAAAGCATGGATTGTCATATTTAGTCTTCTTTCCTCTCGCTCTTCCCATTAAAAAAAATTAAGAAGAGATCTGGCAATTTTTGGAATGGAATACTGAAAGTTCTTGATATTGGCTGGCATCCTATTAGTGACACTGAATGTTACGCTTATGTATGTTTTCTTTTTGGTCATAAGGGATGGAAGCACTTCTATTCATGTCAATGCTTTCCCTTAATCTTTGGCATCTTTGCTTGCTGGGCAAGCCATTTGGTGGCCAGAGAAGGGCTGGAGAGGGACGAGGGACAAACAGACATACCGCCAGTGTTATAAATCACTTGATGAGAAATGCATGTAACATGATTGACACAGTAGCAATAGCAATAACATTTACATTTCTACATTGTGATCTCAGTACTCTCCAAGCCAGGGGTCGGCAACTTTTTTTTGCTGGGGATCGGCGCGTACATGATTGTGCGTGTGCACGTGCTTGCCCCCGTGTGTGCGCATGCGCATGACACCTACCGTCGTGTGCACGCGTGCGCACGTGGGGCGCCATTTTGGAACGCTCAACGGCGCTGGCACCATGCGAATGCGCACAACACCAGCGCTGTTGGGCATTCCAAAATCGGCACCCGCCATCGTGCGCATGCGTGTGCAAGCGTGAGCACCATTTTGGATGCCAAAATGGTGCCCGCGCTCGCATGCGGTGTGGCGGTGACAGTGGCATGCACATGGTGGCGGTGGCAGCGGCAGCGGCAGCAAGACTGGCCACAGCCCGGTCCCAAGGCCTCGGCGGGCCGGCCCCGGCCCACAGGATGTAGGTTGCCGACCCCTGCTCTATGCGGTTTACAATCTATAAGCCAATTGCCCCCAACAAGCTGGGTCCTCTGCAGTGCGGATGCAGCCCTATTCATCTTTTTGACCTGAATTTCCTGACAGTGAGAACTGTTCCACTGGAATATGCCATATTGAGGAAGGAGCAAGCTTGTTTTCTGCTCCTCTTGAGACCAGGACATAGAGCAATGGATGCAGACTACAAGAACAGGGATTCCACATCAACATTAGGAAGAACCTCCTGACAGTAAGAGCTGTTTGACAGGGCAATATACTGCCTTGGAGTGTGGTGGCATCTCCTTCTTTGGAAGTTTTTAAACAGAGACTGGATAGCCATCTGTCGGGGTGCTTTGATGGTGTCTTCCTGCATGGCAGGGAGTTGGCCTGGATGACCTTTGTGGTCATAGATTCTATGAGTCTATGCTCCCTTCCTGCTCCTGGCAGCAAGAACAGAGCTGTCTGGATACTCCGATTCCTGGATGCCCCCTGTCCTTCCTCCATCCTTCCCCAGTCACTCAATAGCCATTCAGGGAGAAAAGAGGTAAGTGGTTTGGTTAGGGAGGTGGACACATCACTACACTTGGTGGAACTTTACGATCCATCAGAATGAAACAAGATACAGTCGGTCCTTCATATCCACGGTTTCTTTATCTATGGATATAAGGATCCATGGCTTGGAGAAATTCAAAAAATATATAAATTCCTGAAAGCAAACTTTGGTTTTGCTATTTTATATAAGGACACCATTTCACTATGCCATTGTATTTATTGGGACTTGAGCATTCACAGATTTTGGTATCCATGGGGGGTCCTGGAGCCAAACCACAGCGGATAACAAGGATCCACTCTATTGGTCAATATCTTTTAAATATTTTTCTATGCATATGTTACTCTGCCATGTGATCCTGGGACCACAGCACCAAAAGGAGGGACAGTTGGATCTCTGCTGGTAGCCAAGTGGCTCAAAGCCACATGAAGGTTGCACATCTTGCCTTTCACCACCATTTATTTTATTATTTTTAAGATAGCAACACCACCCTTCACTCCAACAGGTAGTGTGCTCAATAGGAAAAAATGCAATTTAACAGAAGGCTGAGAGAGAGGAAATCCATGAAGCTAAGGTGATGAAGCCATCCTAAGATCCCAGGGCAAACAAGTATCTCTTGACCCCTGGTGGCTTGTGGACTGAGGAGGCCTTGCCCCCAAATGGTGGGCTGCTGCTCCCTTCTGGCTTGGATCACAAGCTGTGAACCATGATCTTGACCTCTGGGATGGAAAGGCAGTAATGGCAGCACCAGTCAGATTTTGTTAGGAAGGGAGCCCCAGTACCAGGATGCCTTTGAAATAACAAGAAACAGAAGAGAGCCAGCCTGATGTAGTGGTTTAAGCATTGGGCTACAACTCCAGAGATCAGGGTTTGATTCCCTGCTCAGCCATGGAAACCCACTGGGTGACCTCAGGCAAGTCACACTCTCTCAGCCTCAGGGGAAGGCAAAGGCAAACCCCCTATATACAATTCCCAACCCCAGAAAACCCCATGACAGGTTCGCCTTAGGGTTGCCATAAGTCGGAAATGACGAGAAGGCACACAACAATGATAAAAGATTACCGATGCAATAGGGTTAGGATCACAGAATCACAAAGTCGGAAGAAACCCCAAGGGCCATCCAGAATTCAAGCATTCGCAAAAGATGGCCATCCAGTTTCTGTTTAAAGTTAAGAGATGATATGACAGTAATGTTTAAATATTTGAAGGGATGTCATATTGAGAATGGAGCAAGCTTGTTTTCTGCTGATTCAGAGATGGAGTCAAATTACAGTAAAAGAGATTCCACCTCAACACTAGGAAGAACTTCTTGATGCTAAGAGCTGTTTGACAGTAGACTATGCTGCCTTTGAGTGTTTTGGAGTCTCCTTCTTTGGAGATCTTAAAACAGAGACAGGATGGTCATCTGTTGGGAATGCTTTGCCTTCTTGCATGGAGAGGTTGGACTGGATGACCCTTATGGTCTCTTCCAACTCTATAATCTTCTATAATCAGAAAAAAAGAAAAAGATCTGTGAAAATATGCTTGTCAGGTCTGACTTTCCCCAAACAACAATGATTATTTATTGTTGTTATGCACCTTCAAGCCATCTCCAATTTATAGTGATCCTTTTATAGGGTTTTCTGGGAAAGATTTCTTCAGTGGAGATTTACCTTTGCTTTCCTCTAAATCTGAGAAAGTATGATTTGTACAAGTTCACCCCGTGAGTTTCCATGGTTGAGCAAGGTTTTGAACTCAGGTCTCCTGCAGTCCTAGTCAACACCCAAACCATTATGCCACCTTGGCTCTCACACAGCTTGGTTATTATTTTGCATTTTGATTTTTCACCTGTACAGAGCCCAGAGGCACATAATTCATCACAGAAACCAACACCGTTGGACCCAATGCCATGGATGAATCCGCAGTGTGTCGTCTGACCGATGCCAACGAAAGTTTGAAAAATGAGATATGGGACCTGAGAGACATGGCCGCCAACCTTGATAATGAAAAGCAGGAGATTATTATGGAGAATAAGTTGATGAAAGAGCACAACAGAAGCCTGGAAGCCAAAATTGACTGTTTCCAAGCCATGGCGGAAGACTTTAAAAAGGAAGAAGAAGAACTCCAGGGGATGCTAAGGCAGCTGGAAGAGACAATCATACAACTGGAGTCCCAAAACAACACCTTGAAAGGAACCAACAAGATGCTCAGGACTGAGATACAAACGGTGTCCAGCCACATTGTTTTGTTTCAAGATTATAAGGCTGTGCAAGACCAGGATATCGTCCAGATGAAGCAGGTGATGGAACACATTGTAGCATACTTCAAACAACTGGAGGTGAAAATTGAAACAGCCGAGCAGCAGTACGCCGAGGAACAAAATCATACCACTGAGCTGAGACGCACCTTGGAGGAGCTGGAACAAATCCGTGAAGTTCAGGAAAATGAGATCTTTTGCCTCAGAGAGCAGCTGGAAGAGGCATCGTTGCTGAGGTCCGAATCGGACGAGAACATGGAATTCCCTTCTTTGCTGCATGAGATGGTTCAAGCCAAGCTTGTCCAAGACTCCCTGGCCATGCAGAGTTGCATTCTCCTCCTCCTGTCCAAAGTCGTATGGCTGTTCTTGGCGACCATTGTTTGCCTTGGGTTCTTTAACCTTTCAGTCAAACTATATGTTTCCCTGTTCTACAAGGATTTGGAATCGGGAAGCCAATCCCTGCTGCTTCCGGGCCGCTTCAGCTTGCTGTCGGAAGCCTTCTATCCACGTCACATGAAGAAGCCCAACGGATTGCTGCCATTTTGAGAGCAATGCTGATGCTGCTTGGGAAAAACCAACCAACCAACCACAATTTGGCAGAACTAGCCTTAAATTCTTGTCTCAAAATGTGTGCATTCAAAATTAAAAAGAACCCCACTTTAAAATATACATAAGTTAATGTATCCTCATCTCAGCTGCCATCAAATACCTCTTGGTTTCCAGAGTGTTTGGTCCTTTTTAGAACATAACCTAGGCCTTTTCTACATGGGTGATTTACCCTGAATTCTCCCTAGGATCACTGTGTCCTGTTTACATGATGCAGGGCCCAAACCCCAAATCGGGTCTGGACTGTCTTCATGACACTCACATCAGATTTTGACCTATGCCAATGGTCAGACCCTTAACCTGCATTTGTCTTCATGACACTCACATCTGATTTTGACCTATGCCAATGGTCAGACCCTTAACCTGCATTTAAATACTGCCAGAAATAGTGTGAATTCAGTCCACTTTTAGGGTTAGGGTTAGTGCTAGGGAATCATGGGAACTGTTATTTTCCTGAGACATTGAACCTTCTCTGTCAGACAACTCTGGTGCCACAATAAAATACAGTTCCCATGGTTCCCTTACTCTAACCCTAACCCTAAAAGTGGACTGAATTCACACTATTTCTGGCAGTCTGCAACCCCCTAAGTCACCTTTTGCTGCAGGTTTTCACCTGTCTTTGCAGCAATGACAGCGACTGCCTTGAGAGCTGCCTGGCACAATTTATGTGGTCATAACTCTATCTAAGGTCGGAATGAAACGCCTGACGTCGATGGCACAGCTGGGCACTTTGTTCTGACCTCAGCAGCGGCACCGTGTGGGAAGGCCCATTGTTCACTGTGAGAGTAGAAAAACTGCAGCAAAAGAGAGCAGGTAGGGAGTGAATTTGGAGCGAATTCAGGGCCAGAATACTCAAGAGGCAGCGCGGAGTATTCAGGTAAATGCAGACCTGCCTTTGACTTCTGTGTTTATAGCAGGGGTAGGCAACCTTTATCTTTTAAGGACTGAGGACTTCAGCTCCCCAAAGCCTCAGCCATGTTGGCCAATAGTCCCATGTTGGCCAGTAGCTCCTGGGATTCTGGGAGCTAAAATCCCTCGGCCCTTAAAGGGGAAATGTTGCCTACCCCTGGTTTATAGTGTTGCCAGATCTCAAGGCTTGGCTTCAAGTCTCCACTTTTTGTGGATCATCTCTAGGCAGAGGTTGAGGGTACAAATTCCCCAGTTTTCGGGAGATCATCTCCAGGCAAGAGGAAAAGACTGGATGATAGATAGTCTCCAGCTCACCTAGTAGAACAGTAACTTGTTGCAATTTGTGAGGTTTAATTGATTTGCTGCTGCAGCTTGCAAAAACTCTCCAGGCTATATGAATGACAAGCTGTGAGCAATTGTGGTTGGTACCTAATGCCTAACATTCAGTGATATCGCCAAAGGCCATCCCTAACCTTCAAGTTTTGGCCCAGAAACCTCAGGGCCTGGAACAGTCCTGAACACACAATCCTCATTTAAAAATATAATCTAGAAAGAGCTTGGGAAAGTGACATTTTGCACACCATAATAAGCCTAGATTTTCCTGGGGAGATTCTGGGAGCTACAGTCCAAAAGAACGAATGCTTCCAGACTCAATGAACATGCAGTGCAGTTTCTATACCTGAAGTAGATGGATGATACCTAGACAGGGCCCTTGTTCCTTCAACAGCTGTGTAGAGAAGGGAATTTCAGCAGGTGTTTCTTGTCACACAACCAGGTAAGAAGCGGCACCTGCTGAAATTCCCTCTTCTACACAACTGTTGGAGGCACAGGAGCTCTTTCCGGTTTTCATCCTGGCGGCCTTAGAAGGGGGAACCTCACACTGAAATGTTTTCTTCCCACCCAAATAAAATTAAATAAAATTTAGTTTTTAGAAAACTAATAGATGGGGAAGAAAGTTTTCTATTCAGAATTGGCACAGTCTCAGGAACTTTGTCTCCTGTGATTTATCAGTACATGAAGACTGACTCTCACTCAGTGAAAAGAAAATAGTTGACGCTCAATTCATGACAAACAAAATGCTGCAACATCTGAGGTACAATCAAGCTAGGGAATTACTTGCCATATAATGTTTTATGGCATATTCCTTGACAAAGTTGTATGGAAGTGGTACAGTTTATCCAGAGGATATGAGTCACCAATTCTCGGGGTGAGGAATCTTATGGCAAGAGCGTTGCCTTGAAAAGTGTATGGGTATATGCATACTTCCATCCCTATTTAGACCGGACAGTTTTTATTTGAATGTTGTACATACGCAGCGTAACTATGGATGATGCTTAAAATATTATGCTTAATGACATCACCCCCTGTGACATCACAAGGGGATCAGCTAGTTTTAGCATTTGCAAGCCGTCTTGGAAGAAAAGCTGGGAGGAAAGCCTTTTGACAAAATAAAATTAAATAAAGTAAGGGAACTTACACAGCTGCCTGGCACTAACAGGATTTCAGACATCAATACATTGTTAATAGCAAAGAGCAGTAGTTCCCTTAGTACCTAAGGTCCTCTTCCTTCTCTCTTTCTCTCACACACATAAATTGCTATAAAAAAGGTGTCTGTTAGAACCTGGCTTTGAATCACACCATGAGCTGTGATCAACTTGCATGTCCCTTGGCATGTCCCAACGGCTAAATGTACAACTAGTCATTCACTGATTTAATTGGGCTTCACACAACATGTCAACCAGCTTTATGAGTACTTGGTGTGAAATACATGGGGGAAAGAGCAGCCTTTACTTTCAGTCAATTCTTAGGTAATTGCACCCTCTGGAGGCTGCAACCAAAGTTTGCTGTATGTGCAATGTTGACACCCAGTGTTTTAAAATAATACCTGAATTTAATCCTTTTGAAAAAGAAACTCACAACACACTGGTGTATTGTAATTGGCATCACTGAGCCTTCTTCTAGAAGTCAGAGTGAGGAGTGGAGAAATGTGCTAAACTGAAATGTCTGGTGCTCAAAAACTACTACTACTGGAATTCTATTGGTGTTATAAGCACACCAAAGCTCCTTTATTCAGTTACTCCAAGGTCTAGCCAACCTAAAGGTAAAGGTATTCCCCGTTGACAAGGTTGTCAAGTCATGTCTGACCATAGGAGTCGGTGCTCATCTCCATTACTAAGACAAAGAGACTACTCTGTGATCCGGTGGCCAGCATGATTGCACAGAACGCTGTTTACCTTCCCACCAAAGTGGTACCTATTTATCTACTTGCATTTGGATGCTTTCAAACTGCTAGGTTGGCAGAAGTTGGGGCTAGTGACAGGAGCTCAACCCATCATACAGCACCTGGTCCTCGAACTGCCAACCTGCTGATCTTGCAGTCGACAGAGTCAGCGTCTTAACCACTTGAGCCACCACAACCCCCTACACCCCCTTTTTTATGTCAATTTGATATTAAAGGTATGTTTTAGGCATATAGCCAAGGGGGTATCCTCAGTGCAGGAAACTAGCCATGATAAGGCTAGTTATCAGACTGGCTCAATAAGGGGGAAAGCTAAAGCACATTGCCAAGACAGCTAAATTAATAGCAGAATCTGCATATTCCCTTCATTGATCAGGGTGATGATGGGTGATAGATCTTGTGCTTACAAATGAAGAGAAACCCAAGTGCACTTTTCTCTGGAGGAGATACTTCTTTATCCAGAGGCATTTGCACTGATTGTCCAGTCACTCACAAGTCCTGCTCTCATTCTTCTCTTCTGGAAACTTTGGGGGGATGCAGATGCAAAGCGCCATCTTGGAGGCAGAGAAGGGGAGGGGCAGCCACACGCCGGGCGCCCCAATCCTTCCCGAAGACGTCATCAGAGCATGCGCCATTGTACATGGCGAACGCTCTGATGATGTCCTCCTGGCGCAGCGTCCGGACACGCTGCACCAGAAGAGACGCGGAAGAGACACACGGTGTCTCTTTGGGTGCTCCTTTTGGCATTTTAGCGCATGTGCAATTGAGTCGTGACCACCATTTTGATTTCCAAAATGGTGGTCATGACTCGTTTGTGCATGCGCAGTACTCCTGAGTATGCGCAAATGCATTGTGGCCGCCATTTTGATTTCCAAAATGGCAGCTGCAGTGCGCGCGGCCGCACGGTGGCAAAAACGCGCAGCAGCAGCAGCGCGCGGTGGTGGCGGTGGCGGCAACCTTCTGCCTGGGCCGGTAAGTCCGAGGACCTGGGCCTTAACCGGCCCGCGGGCCGTAGGTTGCCGGTCCCTGCTCTATCCTCTCCTTTCCAATTCCCTCTTTTGAGTTACTTGAGTGCCAACTATTTTTGCACTTTCAATTTAGAGTGCATCCATGCTGTACCAAAGAAAGGAGTTTAACTGCCATGGCTCTATCCTAGAGAATCCTAGGATTTGTAGTTAGGAGAGACCATCAGTATGACATAGTGGTTTGAGAGCTGGACTATGAATCTGGGGACCAGGGTTCAATTCCCTGCTCAAACATGAAACCCATTGGGTGACCCTAGGCAACTCACATTTTCTCAGCCTCAAGGGACGGCAATGGCAAACCTCCTCTGAACAAATCTTGCCAAGAAAACTCTATGATAGGGTCACCTTAGGGTTGACATAACTTGGAAATGACTTGAAGGCACACAACAACAAACAAAGCACCAGCACTCTTTGCAAGAGAAGGCTGAAGACCTTGTAGATTGGCAAATACTAGGATTCCATAGGATGGAGCTACAACACATGACATGGTGTCAAAGTGCATTATTTCTCCAGTGCAGATGCACCCTCAGTTTGCAGCAACTGAAGCAAGCTGAGGACAACAGAGGAAGGTGGATGGAAGACAGTGAAGCTGGGACATTTTAAAAGCAGCTGAAAAATTGGGACGGCAGAGGATTAATCGGAACCGTCCCTGCCAAATTGAAGAGTGTGCTGTTTTAATTTCTGAATGGGAAAGTTGATTTGATGGTAAGATAATGATGATAAAAAAAAACCACCTAAAGGTCAAGACAGCTGGGTTTCTTGAGATTCACATGTGTTGCTTGAGTTGCATAGCTTTCTATACTGAGATCCACTTGAGTTGCATAGCTTTCTAAACTGAGAACTTCATCACTGGGCTGTTTCTCAAGGGGCAAGACCAAACATTCATATCCCAGAATAGCCTCCCACAATTACACAACGACAAACAAAATTTCTTTTGTGCTGCTGACCTCTCTCTCTTTCCTTTCTTTCCCAGCCTCCTTTCCTTCTTCAAACCGAGGCCGTTTTTCTAATCAGATTTGCATTTCTAAAACTACAAAGCATCCTGCTGATCCCAAAAGTGTCTTTTCAGATCCCAGAACTGAAACTCCAGTCTCTATATAAGTCTTTAGCAATAAATAAATAAATAAATAAATAAAGTTTATTGTGCATCTTGAAAATGCAAGAATTAATTATATACAAATTTTCAAAATGAAGTCATCTTTGGCAGAAACTTTCAGCAGTGGTTTCGTTTTGGTTTGCCACACGCTGAATTTTCTGGATAGCATCCTTTAAAAAAAGAATAGAGAAGAGCTGCCGAAAAATCTGTCTGCAAAATGTGAATAGTGAATTTTTTCGTTTCACGTAGGCGTAGGCCTGGCAAAAACCTGATCAAATTGTCCCTTTTTCTCTCTCGCTCTTCCCCGGCCATATGGTAAGCAGCTTCTGTGCTCGGATTAAGTTTCAATCTTTTCCAACCTTTCTGGATTGAACATTTGAAAAAGTGACAGATGACAGAAAGCCCTCCCTACTTTGGGAGGAGTTATCCAGCCCCTCTTTTGAGACTTTGGGGATCCCAATACAATTTTTCCAGCTATTGTGGAAGGATAACCAGCAAAGGATCTTAAGTCTGCAAGAAAGCTGAGGAAGGAATAACCCAACAAGAACTGCGATGGCATTCACTTTAGAGGAAAAGGAAACCGAGGTAAGTCCCATTCTTCCAAAGGGCAGCTTGGATGCAAGTTTTCATAAGGATGCCCTTATTAAAATTCACATCAGATCAATTTGGTCGCCAGAGAGGGAGAAGTTCCCTTTGGACGGCCCCTAACTCATTCCTTCTTTTCGAATAAGGGATGTGACCCGAGTGCTAATAAGGCGACCCCCCCGTTTCTTGCCTTCAAAGAAAAGCACAAAGTATTTTTGACAGAGAAACACATCTAGTAGGCGAAAAGCTACGGACAAAAAAAAATGGATGAACTTTTCTTCCTTTTTTAAAAGGAAGCCTTCATCTAACTACCACTGACTCTCAGCTTATTAAAGTGCAAAACTCCAATTTTGGGTTGCTGGGCTTTGGGGCTCATGAGAACAACGTACATCAATCTGAAGCAATGGATTAGAGAGGAGGCATGCTTTTTTTTTTTTTTTTTTTGCTGGTGCAAATACGGAATTGGCAGCGGAGTAAAATGTTAAGCAGCTTGCCTCCTGTCACCTTGCAAAAAAATAGCATCAAATTGACCAAAGAGATCCGTGAAATATTAACATTTGGGGAAAATTGTCCAGTGTCACCAACTTAGGGTGACCAGTTATCTTAACTGCAAAGGAGGACGAGGTACCGTAAAACATAGGACATCCAAGAAAAATGTAGGATATTACCAAATAAAAGCTTAAAACACTCATATAAATGTAAATTCATGCCTCTTAGTTACGCTCCAAAGGGAGAACACTTTGGAATTCCTCCTGGACAGAAGGTTGAATGGACATGTCCTGGAAAAAGAAGATGCTTGGTTACCTTGCACCAACTACTGTTGAAGGAAATAGCTTCATACCAGGCAGCTATCTCGATTTGGCAGGGAAAATTCAAATTCATCCTCTGCCATCCCATTTTTCCAGCTGCTTATAAAATGTCCCGGTTTTTCTCTCTTCCTCACCCTTTGTCTTCAGCTTATTTCAACTGCTGTAAGGGGTTCAAAGTGCAAACCTACTTTGCATTCGATTAACTTGGCAGGGCAGAGATGAGAAAAGGGTGTGTGTGTGCAATCACGCCCTTCCTAGTCAGCTCAGGCAAAAGCAAACTGCTGCAGCCTCTCCTAGATTGTGCAATTTCCTCATTAATAGCATCTTGATCATGCTCTGACATCGCTTGACCACACACGATCCGGTTTTCATCTGTAAAATGGTGGAGCCAATGTGAGTGCAGGAACTGAAATCTGAACACAAGCAAACAGGCTGGTGCCCTGATTTCCTTGGATTTCGGAGGCTGGGAATGCCCTGGGATTACCTAGTAGCCATCACCTGCCCTCCCAAGTAAGGCAAAACCCTTAAGGGATTTGATCTATGTTCCTTCAAAGTCTTGGGCCAGGATTATAATAATTTATGTGAGCTGCTGTCTTTCATTGCTAAGTGCAGAACAAGGTGAGTGATGCCAAACTTTGCAAGCAACTCAGGTTGAAAAAGAGAGAGAGTCAGAGAGAACCTGTCTTTTCTCAAAGGGCATTGAATTTAAAGAACTAAATACCAGGGTTTTTTTTGGGGGGGGGGAGAACAAGTTTTAACCCTTCCTCCCAAGTTTTTCTTTTGTTTTGTTTAAACCAGTTTTTTTGGATTGATATGTCAGTCACTACACCAATGTAGGACTGAATCAGAAAATTAAGTAGCGATCTGCAGTTCAGATGTTATGGCCACTAGCTTAAATAATAATTGTTCTTTTTAAAAAGTACTCTTTGAAAGCAGCTTGTTTTGGTGGAACATATGTTCCTTGAAGGATTTCTTTCTGAAAGTAATTTCTTGTATTGTAAAATAAAGTGATTAAAAGGAAGCAACTGACACTGGATGCTGGCCTAACAATGAACCACTGTTGAAGTTAAAATGTTTAGATCCAGTCATTGTTGAAAATAATAATAATAGCCAGACTTTTTTTTTTAAAATGAATAATTGATTAAAAACACCACCTGCCAAAATGCTCCTTTCTACACTAGCCTTAAATGCACAGGAGCCTTCCCCACTTTGCAATCTGGCAAGCCTCATTCAGACCACCACGGCCGCCACAGTCATGTTGGTCAAGCTATTGTCAAAGGAGGACAAAATGGGAGCAAACAGGCATAAAAAGCCGGGAACTGGAGACTGGAGAAAAAGAGCCAAGCATCTCCGATGACTGGGAGGCAAAATGCCAAAGAAGGAGACTTACCAACTGATTAGAAAAATACAACAGGTTGTCTGTGCTGGACTATTAGCAGCAAAACAGAGAATGAATGATTATTGTGAGAGTTGGGGAGGGGATGGGACATGGCCTGGAAGTTTCGCAAGTAGCGATGCTTGTTCCGCAGAGAGAAGGATGGCGATAGAAAATTCCACGGCAGTTGAGTGCTCATCCAGGAGCCTCTGGATACAGAGATGCTGAGCTTCTGGCAGGAAGGAAAATTATCGAAACATTGGGCTCAGTAGTCGTCAAGGTAGGTTCTGTTTCGAGGAGGGAATAGAACCGAGTTCTTGAAAGGTGCTTTAATCTAATGGCCATGATTTTGTTCCAGATTAAAATCTACTGCAGAAAGATGAGACACATTCTCTGCTTATGTCTACTTAAGAAGGCAAAATGCACTAGTTTGTAGTGGAAGCATTATAGTCAGCCCTGCTTATCCACTGATATTTTTTTTAATTCAGCCATCCACAGCTTGAAATTAATAACAAATATATAAATTCCAATAAGGAAACCTTGATGTTGCCATTTTATATAAGGGACATAATTTTACTATGCCATTGTATTTAATAGGATTAGAGGATCCATTTCACTACGCCATTGTATTTAATGTGACTTGAGCATCCACGTATTTTGGTACCCACAGGGAGTCCTGGAACCAAACCCCAGTGGATACCAAAGGCCCACTGTGTTTTTATTTTATGAAACTACAAAGTGTATATTCTGTGAATAATCCTGCAGCAGTACAGATTGAGTTTCCCTTATCACAAACGTTGGATCAGAAGTGTTTTGGATGTTGGATTTTCATTTTTATTTTTTTGATTTTGGAATATTTGAGTATATACATAATGGGATATCTTGCGTTCCAAGTCAGAACTGAAAATTCATTTTTGTTTCATATATACCTTAATACGTATAGCCTGGTCATTTTAGACAATATCTTAAAAATAATTTTGTGCATGAAACAAAGTCTGTGTACCTTGAACTATCCAAAAGCAAAAGTGTCACTATCTCAGCTACCCATGAAAAAAGTTTTGTTTGTTGGTGGATTTTGGATTTTGGAATTCCAAGCACGGGAGATTCAACCTGTATACAGATTGACTAAAATCACAATAAATCAATGGACACTATTTTTTTCCCCCCAAAGTAATAATTTAGAAATTTATGGTTCTGTATCCACTCCAGGGTCCCCAGGGTTTTTGCTTAATTTATATCCTGCCTCTCTCCTTGCATTGGACCTAGATGCATGTAAGCCTCAAACCTAGGATTGCCACAGTACATTAAAGGCTCCTGTACATTTAATGGTGTTTTAAGAGAGGGAATTTCAGCAAGTGTTACTTGTCGC